ACGTGTATGTGATGGTTTTTGGAGACACGGGGCCAAATGTCTCGGCACTAGGGATGTAACGATTCACTCAACTCACAATGCGATAGGATTCACAATACTGATTTCACGATACGATTTTCTCACGACCTTTTTAACTAAATGAGATTTAAGACAAATATAAATGCAGAAATATAAATGCTTGGACAAAATGCTGCGCATTTCTTTGTGAAATTGAAATGTCAAATAACAAAACTAAATTGAAATTCCAAAACAAACCCCAAATCGAATAAATAACACAAATAAAATAAATATTTCATATGAACAATTTAAAACCATTTAAGATTAGAGGCTGCGACTGCATTTTAATCACAAGCATGAGCAATTTTAAATTGTTTAAATTAAATTAGATTGTAATTTCAAAATTTGAAGCAAAATCTGATGCTCTGACTTTAGTTTTGTGAAACTATACTACATAAAACATCTGCACAAAACAAAAACAGCTGACAAACTGAATGAGAACGCAGATTCACTCTCTGACAGCAGATGGCGCTCATGGAACAGCAGCGATACGGTGTTTCCTTGGTTACCGCTGTAAACTAAACAGCGCAGCGCTACTGATGAAAAGAAAATATCATCTAAACTTTTCTAAAGACAGTCAGTTCCCCTCAGAGATACATTCATATAAACTCCCACCCCCAACTGTACCGCGATTCGTTTAACATCTCAACCGATTTGAATTGGCACATATTTGTATCGATTTTCAAGTGGCTACAGTATATAAAACAGTTTTGAAAGGGTCTTCGTGGTTGCCAGATATCATGTTTGCTTGCTCTTGTTATTATTTTAGGTGTTTTCTCTTTTGATTAATCAAATGTTGATCTTTAGTCTGTCCTTTTTCATGTAGAGTAATGGCATTTCATAATTGATAGCAATGGTCAAATTATGTGAATTTTTTTTAGTGGTTGAGATCTAGGAAGCAGGGTGGATTATTATTATTATTATTATTATATAATGATAAATTATTATATAAAATTATGGAAGAAGTATTATGTTACATATTTATATAGAGAGACTTCTCAAGTGCACTGAAAAAGTTTATTAATTTGTTCATTTTATTAATTAATTAAAATGTTATATTTGTTATATAATGGTATATTATTATAACTAATGTATATAATATATATTATATAATAAATGTTTATATGTATATATATACACACACACACCCCTCAAATACACCTTAAAAAATCTTATGTAGATCTTATTTTTGTGCATGTAAAATATTTATCTTGTTTGTCTACCTTTTGTCTACCATTTATTCATTTATTTATCCATTTTTTTATTATCTATTTACCAGTTTTGTTTTGTTGGACATTAAATGGCCTCAGACATGGCATAAAACAATCAAATAAATTGGTTTTATGTATGACCAATATCTCATAATGGCCAAATTTTATTTGATTAACCAACCTGTCTGGTATATTGGGTTAATATATTAGTATATTAATAATGTTGGTTTATTAATAATGCATTGTGTTATTAATCTTCCTTATTAGTCTATCTTTACTTAAAGAGCAGGTCATATGGTATTTTAAAGTGTCCTAATATTGTGTTGGAGTCCCCTACAACAGGTTTAAATGCATCTACGGTCAGAAAACATTAATATTAAATGTATATTCTGAGAAAATTACAGAGTAATTTGCCAATGATTTCGAAACGATTCGTTCCAAGCAAGTTTGGAGCAAACCCCTCCCTTCCATAAGCCTACTCTGCTCTGATTGGTCAGCTGGCCAAGCCTGTTGTGATTGGCACAGAGAGGAGTCCTTGAGCAAGTTAGCGAGCGCTACCATTGACAAAGCACATTAATATAGTGCTCCAATCCGTTCTTATAATAATGACATAAAATATAAAAACACTTATGCAAGCGAATCGTGCCCACAGCTAAAGTTTAGCTGCTAAACTGTGAACACTTAAAACAATAATGGTGGATACGTTAGCTGCGTGCTAATGTGACTAACTGATGAAACAATACAGTTTGTAAACCAAAATATGTCTACTGTAATGTTTGAAGAACGACAGATAAAAGACGCTCTGTCTTACCTTTTAATCAGAACACAGAACAGCTGTATCGCAGACGCACTCGCTCGTCTTTCCCTGAATTAACCCTATAACTGCCGGCGCAGCAAAATAAACAGCAATTTCACAATGATTATAAAGTCTGTGTGCTACACTACATTCTTTATTATTAAACGGAGTGATTAGAACAACGTCAGTCTACATTAATCGACACATTCTTAGGAAATTGATATTTTGAGCACTCAATTGAAAATGTACACATAACGTATCAATCGTACTTACAGGTTGTGGTTCGGAGAGCTTGTTAGTCCAAATTAAGAAGATTAGAAGCCAACGAAAATAAAAGCCAAGATTAGAGAAGCAGTCCTTGGTAAAATGACATGCACACAACAAAAGGTTCGAATTGTATTTCTGTGGTATCCTTGAACACGGCGTCTTCTCAACATGATGTAAACACACTAACTAGCAGAAGTGTTTGTGGGCAGGTCAGACTGTTCGTATTTCGTGGGAAAGCAGGGATTATGCAAATGTATTACCCAGTGACTTTTACTGGTAACAGGCAAAAGATTCGAAAATATGATGACTAGTTAAGGCGATTCAGAATCGACTCTCTCTTTTGAGAGACAATATCTTTTATTTATCGTGCACTTTACTGATTAACAACTTTGCAGATTGTTTTAATTTAAGGATAGCTACGTTATAAACTGCAAAAGATATACTTTTCAAAAACCCATATGACCTGCTCTTTAATGCTATATGATTTTCCCCTCTACATATTCCTTTCTCTTTATGAACTCCATTCTGCTCTCTTTTCTGTACTTTGGACTTTAATTCCATAACTAATTGTTTTTTCTCTCTTCTTCTTTTTCAGTCACTCTCATTCTCCTGGTTCGATGGCAGCAGTTGTGAGGAATTCTGATTGGTCATGCGGGCGCTGCACGTTTCTTAACTCCAGTGGCTCCTTACGCTGCTCTATTTGTGAAGCTCCTCGGCAGAAGCCGGATTTGAACCATATTTTGCGCCTCAGCAGTGCTGAGGAACCTCGCTGGTCCTGCCCACGCTGCACGCTGACTAATCACCATGGATTAGGCTCGTGTTCTGTGTGCGGAGCAGCTCCAGTTACGCCCAACGGACCCCTCCCACACAAGCAGCCCCCGCCCACTCCAGTAGAGCCCGCCTGCAGCCCTGAAGCCAAAGGTCAGGTAGCCAATGGGGAGTCCCGGTGCACGGAACCCAACGGGGAGGGGTCTGTGGGAGGGGAGGGGTCATCAGAGTGGGCGTGTCCTCGCTGTACTTTAGTAAACACTCCGGTGGCGTTATCGTGCTCGGCATGTGGTGGTCCGAGGAAACTCTCCTTACCGAAAATCCCTCCTGAAGCGCTAGTGGTCCCGGAAGTGCACACACCCGTGGCGGGGTTTCCCACGCAAACGACAGGAGCATCTGCGCCACTTCTCATCGATCTGACTGAAGATTCTCCACCCCTAGCACCTTCTGAAACCCCTTCTCCACCCCCCGTCCCGTTTCTGCCCCCTTCCCTGTCCTCGCTTCAGAATAACCCCGTGCCTCGCAGCCGAAGGGAAGTCCCGCCCCCTGGCCGGCCCCCGAACCCTGCCCCCTCGCCAACCTCACCTTCAACAGCAGCGCCTACCAAACCCAAGCCCCTCCCACCATCAGACAACTACTCACTCAAGCGCCTGAGCGTGCTGGAGGAGGAGCCTAACAACCCCGCCCCTCCAGTCACATCTCCACCCTCTTGGAAGTGCCCCGGATGCTCCGCCCCCACAGCTCCTCCCTCGTCATCCGCCGGCCGCTGCGATGCATGTCGAGGGTCGCGGCCGGGTTCGGGCGGCGACGTCATCGATGTACTAGGCGAGTCGGTGCGATTCACGCCGGCGTCGCCGTCCAGTCCAGACTTCAGCTCATGGGCGTGTTCCAAATGTACGTTGCGCAACCCGACTGGTGCGGGCCACTGCACGGCCTGTGGATCGTACAAATTGCACGGTTTCTCCGAGCCGTCCAACTGCTCGTCGTGTTCTCGGAAACAACAGCACTCGCATGCCTTTACTTCCGCCTCCTCTTCCGCCATCTCATCCCCATCTGCGCAGGACAAGAGCGCCTGTCAGTGGACGTGTCCTGCCTGCACGCTCTTGAACGAAGTACGGATGAAGCATTGCGCGGCGTGTCACACCCCACAGCAGTACCTGAATCAGAGGAAAATAGGGAAACCGCTCAAACGGCGGGAGAGCATGCATGTGGAGACACGCAGACGCACAGATGAAGAAGAGGCCAAGGAATTGTGGGAAAATATTGTCAGCTTCTGTAGAGAGGTAAGACACTGTCAGTTTGATTTGAGAAAAAGATTTGTGTAGTATTTTTAAATACGCTAAGCAGCTACTATTTTGGCATATATGATACTGATTTTAACAAATATCGGCCGATACTCTAATCTACGGAGACCCGCATATGATACGCAGAAAAAAATGACTTCATAATTTGTGGCCACATTTTAAATAAAATTAATTAATTTGTTCTCCCATTTTAGGTAGTGACTAATTAGTGATTAATTTGTTCCGTCATTTTATTTTAGTTAAATTGTGACCATTATTCAACTAAAAAAGTTAGTGGCCTCGGTTTACCTAAAATGTGTAACAAATTAATAAGTCCTGGGAATGATACATAGCTTAAGTGACAATACGATGATATTAAAATAAATTTCATTAACAGAAATGTTGACAGGATTGGTCAATTCGATTTAAGCTGTCCACTTAATTTAATCCTGAAAGTGGAATGATGTTTTCCATGTAAAAATATGCAGATAAATGTTGTTCATTCACAGGCTAGGGTTATTTTAGAGTTCAATTTAAATTATTAATATGTAAATCTTCCTTATGTTAATTTCAAAAACTCACCTTAGTTATTTTAACAGATTTTTAAACTATATTTTTACATGATATCCAAAGAGATTTGGAGTCTTTACGATTTTTACATTTTTTTGCAAGAAATCTCTTCTGCTCACCAAGGCTGCATTTATTTGATAAAAAAAATACAGTAAAATTGTGAAATATTATTACAATTTAAAATAAATGTTTTCTATTGTAATATGTTATAAAATGTAATTTATTCCCGTAATGTAAAGCTGAATTTTCAGCATCATTACTCCAGTCTTCAGTGTCATGTGATCCTTCGGAAATCATTCTGATATACTGATTTGCTGCTCAAGAACCAAATTATAGACCTTATCAATACAATAGATGTACTTTATTAATTATTAATGAACCATCTGTTTTTAATATCAGTTTAAATGTCAGTGATTTGATACATCAGTGCATCTCTAGTGATCTCATTTGTAGTGTTCACACTATACTGTAATATATATCTCTATATTACACACACGACCCACCTAAATACTAATGTTCCATTATCTAAACATCCTGCTACTCTATTCTGTTGACATTTCAAACTGCAGCTCCGTTTTTAAGCTGAGCCAGTATCAGAAACACACAGAGCATGAAAACAGCGGCGCCCCTCATATCTGCTAAATATTTGATATATTTCTGACCTTAATCGAGGGGGAAATGCTCAGACTTTGTGTTTGAGGAGATGCTGACAGCGATGTTCTGTTCAGACAGAAGGGATGTTTAAGGAGCGTCCCGCAGAAGTAAGTGGCTGTGTGCTCTTGTGAGTCGAGTGTGTAATGATTCACTGCCGACGGGGCTGAAATGCAAATTCTCAAGTTCTTCTTGTTCTTGATCTTTTTCCATATTCAATAAAAGGTTTCGGAAAAGAACGCAGAAGTGTTTAGGCGATTTATCATTTGCACTTAAAACCGCTCTAAGCGGAGTACTTCATCTTTTAAATTGAACTGCTTCCTTAATTCTGGGACTCGCAAATACAACTTCAGCAGCTTCTCAAAGATCTTCTTTAATCAGGAGTTTTCCTTTCAGATATGATTCTAGGATCTTTGAAACTCCTTGATATCTCTGACGTATGTCTTCCATATCTCTGGTTAATTTTTATATTTTAGCCATGAGATTGGTGTTCAAATCAGATTGACCTTTGTATTTCCTCCTTGTGCAGACAAACACCTCTTAAAGACCTGTGATGGTACAAACCAAAGGTTGAAATCAAGATAAGCCACAGTTTGATCCAACTTATGATCTCTACATTAATGAATTGTTAGTATCATCTTGGAGGTTGGATATATTTGGATGCTGCTCCAACACACTCCTTTTCTCACTTGCTTCTCCAATGACCTCTTGAGATTTTCCATGTTCTGTGGTTTCCGGACTACACGCGTTATTTCCACAGGAGGGTCGATGCAACATGATATGAATCCTCAGGTTTTCTCTAAGATGAAGTACATCTTTTTGGTTTTTTGGTGCGTGTTACATGACTAGAAGGTCCTTCAGTGTTTTTGGGGCACGTCAGGATGTGTTAGTGTTTACACTGTAAATGAGATGTGATCGTAAGCATCCCTGAAGATGATCTGATCTGATCTGATCTAAAAATTATCAGATCAACCAGGATGAATGTTAATTTCAGGTCTCAGCACAGCTGTGATTTGACCCAGATGTTCTCACTTCAGAATAGTTCCATAATGAAAAATGAAGTTTAGAACCTGTCTAAGCTATTCAAAATGTATTTTTTCAGCCCGTTATGTAATAAAATAATATGATTAATAATCTCAAACACAAGTTGACACTCAGTTTCACCGCACTTCCATGTCTGCATGCATTTCCCCAGCAGCCCCTCCGATCTGCATCCGTCTGCGCTCGCAACTTGGGAGACGTATTTTTAGAAACGGTTGCAGCAGCAATTAAACGGCTCCCCAGAGTCAAAATGACCCCTATTTCTCTGGCATACACGTGTTTTTCCTGTGAGAAAAAAAAATCAGGTGCGGCGTGAGCTGCTGCTGTCCGTGAGAATGTATGTTTGAAGCTTTATTGTTCTTGCAGAATATCTGCTGCAGTTTTTGTAAATTTACATGTTTCCTCCCTCTTTGCTGCGTCTTCATATGATGCACATCATGTCGACTCTATAAAGATGCTCACAGTGATTTGTAGCAACAAAGTGAACAGAAGTTGATGTTTTAGGGTGAAAGTTAGTGTAGTTTTTGAGTAAATAGGGTGAAAATTTACAATTACTTCCTGCATGTATGCGTGTATATTATATGCATATTATTTAATGATGGCAAATGGGATCTCCAAACATTCAGGGAAAAAAGCAATTTAAAAATTATTTTGACCCTAATTTTTAAAAATGTTGTTGTTGTTATTGTTAGTAGTAGTAGTAGTAAAATACATTTATTTTAATGATGGAAAATTATATCTACATAGGTTTTTACATGATATTTATTAAAAACACAGTAATAGTAAACAACAGTAATATTTTAGTTACACACACTCGTGTGTATATATATATATATATATATATATATATATATAT